GCAACACTCATTCGACCATGAAAGGGAGCCAGTATTTAAACGAAGCTTAATTTTCTAATTTTTAACGATACAATAGCGACGATTATTATTTTAAAAAATTTTTGTTAGGCTTAACATCGATGAAAATTCAACGCGAAGTAGGTTAATAGCGATATACTAATATACTAATTACATGGGATATAATAATATACTACACTAATAATGGATTTTTTCATACTTTTCGGTTATCTGACTTTTCAATTATCCGACCAACCCCAGTCCCCAATTAGGGCGGATAATCGAGGTTCTACTGTAAATATTCAGCTATGCAAAATACTTCCAAGGTGAGGAGGGAAAAGAGCATCATTAATTTTTTATGATCTATAAAAAATTAAGGATAAATATTCTATAAACTAAAATTAATGAATAATATTCTATAAACTAAAATTTGAAGAGAAATTTTTTAATAAAAAATTTATCTTCAAATTTTAATTTATAGAAATTAGATAGATACCTTTTAATTATAAGCTTACTAGTAATTTTTGTTCTTGAGTTAATCCAACTAAAAAAATAAAAAGAATTATTGCTTAATAGTACTTTCACAATAACTCGGTGTTGCTGCAGTTTTTACCTTCTGTTCCATTACTGCAATTAGCTATTGCTAATTTGAATGCATGGGCATTGTGGTTAACATGTGTAAGTTATTTCTAGAAACAAATGGTTCTGTATCTCAAATATTTCAGTGACCCTCATATAATTACACTCATTTCTAAGAGAGAATTTGTAATATTTACTTAGAATAATATGTATATGGAAATATGTTTTCTAATTTAATTGAGAAAGAATGCAAAATCTAAGATTTAGGTACTGTACATAATTATCGTGTTCATAATAGTGTCTATTGAGAATGAGAAGGAATAGTTTCTTAACCTTGTAAAATATACCTATACAGGAAATTTTCATGTACTGTACAAAGTAGTTTTGCATAGAAGGTATCAAAATAAAGGTATTGATATGAAAATTATTAGTGTACATTGACTATATTTTTCTTTAATACACCAAATTTGGAATATATTATCTTGATTTTTACATTGATTATTTACTTATATTAATGTACATCTTTTAAAAAAATCTATATTTTTATCAAACCAACTAACATGGATACCCAGATTGAAAAAGCTGAAGCTGAACTTGCAAGTCATAGGAATAGGATTATTGTTGTCTATTCTTGGACAAACATAGCTTGATTGGTTTTATGATAAAATAAAAAAATCTAAGCTACAGTGTGTCCCAAGAGTATATATAATCAACATTTTACTGCTTTACAGAATTCTTAGGGATTTAAGAGAGATATAAATAATTTCATTTGTATATGCAAATTACTTTACACTGATTTTTGATAATTTCAAAATTAAAGATTATTATATTAATAATTTAACAACAAAAATATATTTTTGGCTGTCCCAAAGTATAGATAATAAAACAGAATTGTTAAATTTGAAACATAAACTTAAAATTACAAAAATAAAAATAAATGACATTTACTTTGTTGTCAAGTAGTAATTAAAATATTGAATCTAAACTTACCAAAATTCCACATGGAAGAGAGTTTAGTATGGAAGAAATTGCATGAATATGGAAATTAAAAGCAGAAGGTAGACACTGCAAGGAAATGAACAGATGTACTCCTGGAATTTATAAAATTTTGAAACACTCATCACTAATACCTTCTAAACATCGATCAGGAAGGCTCAAAATTGTATCTAAAAGGGATGGTAATTGAATTGTGCCTCTTGCATCACAACAGGATAAATCAGTTTATCAAATTTTGTGTGAAAGTGGATTAAAAATATCAAAAAGCACTGTTCATTGAAGAATTTCAACAGCTCCACATATGAAATTTGATGCCTTCATGAAAAACCAACACTAACAAACACAAATTGGCAAGATGCAGTAGTGGGCTAAAGCTCACATGCTATGGAATGACCAATGGCTCTCAGTCCTTTTTAGTTATGAAAAGAAATTTAATTTGGACAGGCTAATTACTGGCATGATATTAGGAAAGAAGAGCAGAGTTTTTCAGCAAGCAACAGGGTGGGTGGTTCTGTTATAGTGTGAAACTGCTTTGGATTTAATAGTTTTATCAAATTTAGTAATTGTAACTGGTAGACAGACATGTAAAAGTTATCAAGAAGTCCTAAAAACTAATTCATTACCTATTGGAGAAAAAACTGGAGGACCTGATTGACTTTTCCAACTGGATGATGCCAGTATTCATTGTTTACACTCAACAACTAAGTGGCTTGAGTATCATAATATTCAAATTATGAAGTGGCCGGCAAGAAAGCCCAGACATTAATCCGATTGAGAACTTGTGGGGCATTCTTGCTCGAAAAATTTATGCTAATAACAGGCATTTTATGACTGTTTCAGGGCTTAAACAAGAAGTCATTGAGTGCTGGTTTCAAACAGATCTAGAAATCTAACACAAATTCAATTAAATCAATGCCTAATTGCATTTTTGAAGTCATTAAGCATAATGGCAGTTCTATTTCATATTAAAACAATTTTCACCAATTTATGTTATGAACTATTGCTCAAAGTTAAATTTATCTATATTTTTGGGACATCACAAAACAAATATTTTGTGTTTAACACTTCATGTAACTGTCAAATATTGTAAAAACAATTATATAACATTGTATTATGCTATAAATAAACAACAACAACAACTTGCATTGTTAATAAATACTTAATATTAAAAAAATAATAATAAAAATATAGATAGATTACCTATATCAGGTGTGTCAAACTTATTTAATTAAAGCCCTTAATTAAACAACGGGCCATTAATGCAATTGGTAAGATTCACACAGGCCACATCACATTTACAAATTTTGTTAAAATTATAATTTGGAGTACGAATGCAGGAATATAGATAGGGCAATTAGAACACAATATGTAGTTCAATGAATTAAACTCAACATTATATAATTTCTATAGTATTGCTTTTAACACATTTTAAACATGCTTTTAAACATTTATTTTATTTAAAATACATATTTATAAAACTAAAATTAATTGTTTTCACTGGAAACTTGCCAGAACTATCTTCCTCCTCCTAGTTTTGCAATATCTGGATTCAAAGACTGAGAACAATCTTCATTATGGCAGATAGATGTTTATCAATTAATTTTGATCTATAAGCTGTTTTATTTAATTTCAGAGCATCATGGCCTGCAAATCACTTCAGGGGCCGCCAGTTTGACACACCTGATCTATATGTTTGGGACACTGTAGAATATAGAATTATAATATAGGGAAATGTACCAAAATTTGCAATAAACTTCAAATTCAGAAAAAAACAAGAGAGCCTATTCTTAAATAACATGCTTTTTTGTTTTGAATTGAATTTGTATAGTATAGCAGAAAAAAAAATATTCAGCTATTATACATATATAAGATGATTATATTGTTTGTAAAACAACTAAACTTGTAAGAAAAAACAAGATATTCATTACAGGAGTACATGGAACAGAACATGAGGGAAGCAGAGGCCTTCATACTTCCAAAAACTAGAAGAATCAAATGTGACAAAAATCAGTAATACAGTGGGTGATCGGTTAACAAACTTAATCTGTTCCAAGACTTTGTTTGTTAAAAACCTATGGTAAATCGATAATCGGTTATGGGAATTTGATTAATTCGTTCTGGAGACTCCAAAAAATAAAATATATATACTTTTTTACTACGTTTATTTATATGTAATAGTAAAAATACATATATATGCAGTCTTGCATTTTTATTAGTCATGTTTTTTCCATTTGTGGGGGTTAAAGAATCTGTCCAATGTCAATTGCTTTTCTCTTTTCTTCAGGATTTTTCAGAAGTAATTAATAGTATCATAATTGTAGAGAAATTAACCTTATTCTGGTTTGGATGTCACTTGGATGATCATTGTTCTGACATCCTCCCACTCCTTCAAAAGATCTTTAGTAGCAGATGTCAACTCTCATCTTTCTCTTTAACAAAAAGAAAACACATCTTGCTGAGTTTCTTGGTAGTCTTCATTGAGAGTTCTTGGAATTCTTCTGTCATCAGATCAGTTTCAGGTTCCATTATGAGCTCTAAAATGCTCTTTATTTCTCAGATGTGATTTTCATTACTCCATTAGCAGCTTGAGACTTCTTGATATATCCTTTCATAGCTAAGATTGTGCCTACTGTAGACCTGTTCAAGCCATATTGCCTAGCAACATCAGACATCTTGGTGCCACTTTCTACCTTGGCTATTATCTCTTACTTGGTTTCTATGGTGAGCACAGTTCTTGACACTCCTCTTTTTAGGCTCCATAATATTATCAGTTTCTTTTTTAAATAAAAAGTTCAGAAAAGCACTTACAAAAATTCAGAGAACAGAAATTAACTAGCCCACAAAAAATTATTTAAATGCAAGGCCTGGATGAAATTCAAAATTTGGTATTAAAACATTAACAAATATCCAATGGAACTGTTAAACCTTTCATAAATAAACCCCTACGCAAAACTTAACAAGTGCCTGTCTGACAGTCTCGCAAAGACTACAAAAAATTATTTGTCAGAAAGGTAAACAAAAAGCTGGAATTACAAGGGAGAGTTTCAAGATTCGGAGGAATACTATCTGATCGGTTTCAGGTTGAGCATCAATGTTGATGTCTCCTGCACTCTGAAAGGTTTTGAATTGTTACCCAAAGACCAGGGAAAATCAATTGGTATTCGTTATTTTCTGTCACTTCTTTTTATGTTTGTTCAGTAAAGTGTTTGTCGTCCAACCACCCGCTGTTTATTCATTCAACTATTACACATTTATACAAAAATATTTTTAAAAATTAGAACAAACCCATAGAGCACAATATATATTAAGAAAAACTATAAAAATACAATCACCACCACCAAATGTATGTAGCAATGTATTTGACTGACTAATTCTATATATAAAAAATAAAAATCTATTTGATGATCTTGCAAGGATTATTCTGACAATTTTTTAATGTTTTATTTTCTGTTTTTTTCTTGTGTTATGTTTTGTTGTATTGGCTTCTGAGAAAGGCAATGTCATGAAGTCCTATTAAAAATAATATGTACTAAAATTTTATATTTAAATCATTTTGTGTTGCTATCATAATTCATGAGAACAATAAATAAAATAAAAGTACAATGCAGACCTTGGATTTAAATTAAAAAATTTTTTAAAACTTATAAAACTATTATTTAAAATTTATATTGAAGTGTACTTCAAAAAATATTTTTTGTTTGTAACTGAAAATCCTGATTGCAAAGGAAATAATGAAACAATAATTAAAGTTTGCAATAATATTTATTCTATGTTGTAAAATAATAATCACATTTGAAATGTATACCATACTAAGTGCAAATGGTGCCATTTATAGTTGAAAACTGGTTTAAAAGAATGAGAGCCAAATGACTGGAGGATTACTATATGTAAATTTCTAATTATTTTTGATAATGATCAGTATACAAGTACATAATATTGGTTTGTCTAAGAAAATTATAACTCATGTTTTCTTGCATGATTAAAAGCAACAGTTTTTTAAATTATGTGAAATTTAGCTTTGTCTTGCAGAGGTGAATAGTTCATATAGCATGACTACGATAATAAGATAAATGAAAATTTTAAATTGAATGTTTGCCAGATTGGTGATCTTGGTTGACAGGTATGAGCTCACTGATGCTAATTCTGGGCTTATTTAATATACAAATTTATGATATATGGTAAATTTGACAGATGAATTTAACTCTTTACTTAAAGATGGATTTCTTATAATATTTCAGTTCACTAATACTTTCAATAATATCTTCCAGAGCCCTGTAAATGAAAAAAATAATATATTAATTGATGGTTAAATACTAGAATCTTTTTTATGCTAATGAAATTGTACAAACCGATGTGTAGCCTTTTTTCTTAAACCTTCCTTATACTCTTCAGGATACCATCGTCTAACAAAATAATTTACTCTTTTATTTACATTCATTTTATCAAATAAAGCAACTGAAAATTTAATAAGACTAACCTGCACAATTCTTTGATTGTACTAACATCAACGATCCGATAGTGTAAATGCTTCATAAATTCAGGCATGAATTTTTCGAGAAATTTTTTATCTGCATGAATGGAATTCCCAGCCAATGGACATTTGCCTGGTGGTGTATGTTGACGAACAAAAGACAAAACTGCCATCTCTGCGGCCTGAAGAGTAACTTCGCTTTTTCTACTTTGCTCAGTCAGTCCTGACTAAAAAGTAATATATAATTATAATCAGATATAAAAAAAATTTTCTTATGTTTTTAAGATCTAAACTAATTTGATAGAATTAGCTGAATCATACAGAATTTAACAAACTGGATATAGTAATATATAGCAATATAAATTTTAGTATTTTCAGTTGTGCTAAGAATGTCATTAAAAAGAAATCATTTAATTCCACAAACTGTTTTAAATGTTTCCATTCTGATTTTTCAGTAATAAGTTCAAAACTTAATAGCTAGAACAAATCTTTTGATAAATCTTTTGATCTTACTAGCATAAATTTGAACTGCAGCCACCAGAAAAATACTACAGTAGAGCGTTGATTATCCAAATCAATTGGGGACTGGTGGGGTTGTTCGGAAGATCCATGTTTCGGATAACCGATTATGTACGAAAAAATATATTAATTTATCCTATCTTGACATTTTTCTCCATTGCGTGTCGCTTTACGTTGAATTTTCATCGATGTTAAGCCTAACGAAGACTATTGTATTGTTAAAAATTATTTTTTATTTTGTACGAATAAAATAAATATATTGAAAAATATAAAAACAATAAAAAATTATACTTCAGAAGTTAATTTAGTGTCAAAAACGTAAAATATTTGAGTAGCCCAAGACATAGCCAAAGATTGCAGCGCCAAAGCACTGGCAAAAATTTAAATTTGCCAACTGGAATTCTTTCGATGGATTGACTTTCGGATAATCGACGCTCTACTGTATTCAAAAAGCTGCATTTTGGAGTGTATTTCATATATTTTCAAATGCTAATTTTTCAAAGAATTATCAAATGTTAAATTTATTTTCATATAAATTAATAAGCATAAATGACAAATCATTTTTACTTATTCTTTCTTCTATATATGTAAACAATTACAGTGGTGCCTCGTATAACGTACGCCTCGAATAACGGACTTTCTGTTTGGCTGTTACGTGACTTGAGCAATGGACTGGTTGCGGACAACGGACTCCGTTCAGCAGTTACGTGAGGCGATTAATGGACTTCTACAAACAAGTGCGAATGATGTTTCCACTCTTTTGCTGTTGCCAATGACAATACAGTGATACCTCGACTTACGCTACCCCAACTTACGCGAACACGGAGTTATGCAATTTTCAAATCTCGTCGATTCGTCTTTTGTTTGAGCACCACACAACTCTTGATTACTCATTCCCTTCACACTATTGTTCAACTTACATGTTCGGACGTGTCGTGCGGAATTGACACATAGCTACAATTTATTTTGTGTTATTTATTTCTATGTTTGTTATATCTCGAGACTCCACACCACATAGAGAATCGAGAGACTCTATGTGGTGATTTCTTGTAACAATGAACGAATCAAAAGACGAGATAAGATTAACGAGAACATTTATTAGCTTACATACATCCGACTTGGATTTTACACACACTGAGAAATTATACCCCGACTTACGCGGTTATCGCTCGGTCCCACCTATCGCATAAGTTCGGGGTATTACTGTATGTTATTTTTATAATATATTAGTATTATTAGAATATATTATCAGTATATCTGAAGTACAGAGCGTTGGGATTAGGCTTGCTCCCTTGTTTATTAGGTACATCAATACAGTGCAGGGTATTTACATTTATTCAAGTGTTGTGCAAATCATGGCTTCTAAAAAACAGAAAAGTGATTTCAATTGAAACAATGCAAGAAATCATCAGAAGAAGTAAAAGTTGACAAAAACTTCCTTGTCGAATGGGGGGAGGTTCAGGAGTTTACCAACACTCATTATCCAAACAGAACTGAGGCCAACAGGATCAATGATCTCTACAATGACACTCTTGCCCTTCATTTCCGACAGGTGTTNATAATAAATAAAATGACAAACAGACCGGAAATTACTTTTTTTTTTCTGCGAGAAACTAGGCCCTAGAAGTCTCGATTCGTGCCTAGCCCAATTTTAACGTGTTCGCACCGTTTAACAACGACTCTTGCTCACCTGTTCCAACTAGACCGTGAAGTTAGAAGTGAGAGTTCTTCGTGGGAGGGCAAAACACATTCTTGGCCGGAAAAACTGTATCAGCAAACACTAAAATTTTATAAACGTGAAAATACAGTATATAAATAGGAAACGAACAAAACAATAAACAATAAGAGAAAAACAGTTTCTGTTTTTGTGACCTATGCAAGGATTTTTTTTTAATTTTTTAAAAAAGTTCCCACTCTTTCCTTGCATTGTCTATTGAAATGGCCTCCGTTGGATTCCAACCTCCTACCGAACATTTCAAACGGAGCTTAGTTATTATACAAAATTTTAATTTATAGAAATAAGATAGATACCTTTTAATTATAAGCTTACTAGTAATTTTTGTTCTTGAGTTAATCCAACTAAAAAAATAAAAAGAATTATCTTCAAATTTTAATTTATAGAAATTAGATAGATACCTTTTAATTATAAGCTTACTAGTAATTTTTGTTCTTGAGTTAATCCAACTAAAAAAATAAAAAGAATTATTGCTTAATAGTACTTTCACAATAACTTGGTGTTGCTGCAGTTTTTACCTTCTGTTCCATTACTGCAATTAGCTATTGCTAATTTGAATGCATGGGCATTGTGGTTAACATGTGTAAGTTATTTCTAGAAACAAATGGTTCTGTATCTCAAATATTTCAGTGACCCTCATATAATTACACTCATTTCTAAGAGAGAATTTGTAATATTTACTTAGAATAATATGTATATGGAAATATGTTTTCTAATTTAATTGAGAAAGAATGCAAAATCTAAGATTTAGGTACTGTACATAATTATCGTGTTCATAATAGTGTCTATTGAGAATGAGAAGGAATAGTTTCTTAACCTTGTAAAATATACCTATACAGGAAATTTTCATGTACTGTACAAAGTAGTTTTGCATAGAAGGTATCAAAATAAAGGTATTGATATGAAAATTATTAGTGTACATTGACTATATTTTTCTTTAATACACCAAATTTGGAATATATTATCTTGATTTTTACATTGATTATTTACTTATATTAATGTACATCTTTTAAAAAAATCTATATTTTTATCAAACCAACTAACATGGATACCCAGATTGAAAAAGCTGAAGCTGAACTTGCAAGTCATAGGAATAGGATTATTGTTGTCTATTCTTGGACAAACATAGCTTGATTGGTTTTATGATAAAATAAAAAAATCTAAGCTACAGTGTGTCCCAAGAGTATATATAATCAACATTTTACTGCTTTACAGAATTCTTAGGGATTTAAGAGAGATATAAATAATTTCATTTGTATATGCAAATTACTTTACACTGATTTTTGATAATTTCAAAATTAAAGATTATTATATTAATAATTTAACAACAAAAATATATTTTTGGCTGTCCCAAAGTATAGATAATAAAACAGAATTGTTAAATTTGAAACATAAACTTAAAATTACAAAAATAAAAATAAATGACATTTACTTTGTTGTCAAGTAGTAATTAAAATATTGAATCTAAACTTACCAAAATTCCACATGGAAGAGAGTTTAGTATGGAAGAAATTGCATGAATATGGAAATTAAAAGCAGAAGGTAGACACTGCAAGGAAATGAACAGATGTACTCCTGGAATTTATAAAATTTTGAAACACTCATCACTAATACCTTCTAAACATCGATCAGGAAGGCTCAAAATTGTATCTAAAAGGGATGGTAATTGAATTGTGCCTCTTGCATCACAACAGGATAAATCAGTTTATCAAATTTTGTGTGAAAGTGGATTAAAAATATCAAAAAGCACTGTTCATTGAAGAATTTCAACAGCTCCACATATGAAATTTGATGCCTTCATGAAAAACCAACACTAACAAACACAAATTGGCAAGATGCAGTAGTGGGCTAAAGCTCACATGCTATGGAATGACCAATGGCTCTCAGTCCTTTTTAGTTATGAAAAGAAATTTAATTTGGACAGGCTAATTACTGGCATGATATTAGGAAAGAAGAGCAGAGTTTTTCAGCAAGCAACAGGGTGGGTGGTTCTGTTATAGTGTGAAACTGCTTTGGATTTAATAGTTTTATCAAATTTAGTAATTGTAACTGGTAGACAGACATGTAAAAGTTATCAAGAAGTCCTAAAAACTAATTCATTACCTATTGGAGAAAAAACTGGAGGACCTGATTGACTTTTCCAACTGGATGATGCCAGTATTCATTGTTTACACTCAACAACTAAGTGGCTTGAGTATCATAATATTCAAATTATGAAGTGGCCGGCAAGAAAGCCCAGACATTAATCCGATTGAGAACTTGTGGGGCATTCTTGCTCGAAAAATTTATGCTAATAACAGGCATTTTATGACTGTTTCAGGGCTTAAACAAGAAGTCATTGAGTGCTGGTTTCAAACAGATCTAGAAATCTAACAAAATTCAATTAAATCAATGCCTAATTGCATTTTTGAAGTCATTAAGCATAATGGCAGTTCTATTTCATATTAAAACAATTTTCACCAATTTATATGTTTGGGACACTGTAGAATATAGAATTATAATATAGGGAAATGTACCAAAATTTGCAATAAACTTCAAATTCAGAAAAAAACAAGAGAGCCTATTCTTAAATAACATGCTTTTTTGTTTTGAATTGAATTTGTATAGTATAGCAGAAAAAAAAAATATTCAGCTATTATACATATATAAGATGATTATATTGTTTGTAAAACAACTAAACTTGTAAGAAAAAACAAGATATTCATTACAGGAGTACATGGAACAGAACATGAGGGAAGCAGAGGCCTTCATACTTCCAAAAACTAGAAGAATCAAATGTGACAAAAATCAGTAATACAGTGGGTGATCGGTTAACAAACTTAATCTGTTCCAAGACTTTGTTTGTTAAAAACCTATGGTAAATCGATAATCGGTTATGGGAATTTGATTAATTCGTTCTGGAGACTCCAAAAAATAAAATATATATACTTTTTTACTACGTTTATTTATATGTAATAGTAAAAATACATATATATGCAGTCTTGCATTTTTATTAGTCATGTTTTTTCCATTTGTGGGGGTTAAAGAATCTGTCCAATGTCAATTGCTTTTCTCTTTTCTTCAGGATTTTTCAGAAGTAATTAATAGTATCATAATTGTAGAGAAATTAACCTTATTCTGGTTTGGATGTCACTTGGATGATCATTGTTCTGACATCCTCCCACTCCTTCAAAAGATCTTTAGTAGCAGATGTCAACTCTCATCTTTCTCTTTAACAAAAAGAAAACACATCTTGCTGAGTTTCTTGGTAGTCTTCATTGAGAGTTCTTGGAATTCTTCTGTCATCAGATCAGTTTCAGGTTCCATTATGAGCTCTAAAATGCTCTTTATTTCTCAGATGTGATTTTCATTACTCCATTAGCAGCTTGAGACTTCTTGATATATCCTTTCATAGCTAAGATTGTGCCTACTGTAGACCTGTTCAAGCCATATTGCCTAGCAACATCAGACATCTTGGTGCCACTTTCTACCTTGGCTATTATCTCTTACTTGGTTTCTATGGTGAGCACAGTTCTTGACACTCCTCTTTTTAGGCTCCATAATATTATCAGTTTCTTTTTTAAATAAAAAGTTCAGAAAAGCACTTACAAGAATTCAGAGAACAGAAATTAACTAGCCCACAAAAAATTATTTAAATGCAAGGCCTGGATGAAATTCAAAATTTGGTATTAAAACATTAACAAATATCCAATGGAACTGTTAAACCTTTCATAAATAAACCCCTACGCAAAACTTAACAAGTGCCTGTCTGACAGTCTCGCAAAGACTACAAAAAATTATTTGTCAGAAAGGTAAACAAAAAGCTGGAATTACAAGGGAGAGTTTCAAGATTCGGAGGAATACTATCTGATCGGTTTCAGGTTGAGCATCAATGTTGATGTCTCCTGCACTCTGAAAGGTTTTGAATTGTTACCCAAAGACCAGGGAAAATCAATTGGTATTCGTTATTTTCTGTCACTTCTTTTTATGTTTGTTCAGTAAAGTGTTTGTTGTCCAACCACCCGCTGTTTATTCATTCAACTATTACACATTTATACAAAAATATTTTTAAAAATTAGAACAAACCCATAGAGCACAATATATATTAAAAAAAACTATAAAAATACAATCACCACCACCAAATGTATGTAGCAATGTATTTGACTGACTAATTCTATATATAAAAAATAAAAATCTATTTGATGATCTTGCAAGGATTATTCTGACAATTTTTTAATGTTTTATTTTCTGTTTTTTTCTTGTGTTATGTTTTGTTGTATTGGCTTCTGAGAAAGGCAATGTCATGAAGTCCTATTAAAAATAATATGTACTAAAATTTTATATTTAAATCATTTTGTGTTGCTATCATAATTCATGAGAACAATAAATAAAATAAAAGTACAATGCAGACCTTGGATTTAAATTAAAAAATTTTTTAAAACTTATAAAACTATTATTTAAAATTTATATTGAAGTGTACTTCAAAAAATATTTTTTGTTTGTAACTGAAAATCCTGATTGCAAAGGAAATAATGAAACAATAATTAAAGTTTGCAATAATATTTATTCTATGTTGTAAAATAATAATCACATTTGAAATGTATACCATACTAAGTGCAAATGGTGCCATTTATAGTTGAAAACTGGTTTAAAAGAATGAGAGCCAAATGACTGGAGGATTACTATATGTAAATTTCTAATTATTTTTGATAATGATCAGTATACAAGTACATAATATTGGTTTGTCTAAGAAAATTATAACTCATGTTTTCTTGCATGATTAAAAGCAACAGTTTTTTAAATTATGTGAAATTTAGCTTTGTCTTGCAGAGGTGAATAGTTCATATAGCATGACTACGATAATAAGATAAATGAAAATTTTAAATTGAATGTTTGCCAGATTGGTGATCTTGGTTGACAGGTATGAGCTCACTGATGCTAATTCTGGGCTTATTTAATATACAAATTTATGATATATGGTAAATTTGACAGATGAATTTAACTCTTTACTTAAAGATGGATTTCTTATAATATTTCAGTTCACTAATACTTTCAATAATATCTTCCAGAGCCCTGTAAATGAAAAAAATAATATATTAATTGATGGTTAAATACTAGAATCTTTTTTATGCTAATGAAATTGTACAAACCGATGTGTAGCCTTTTTTCTTAAACCTTCCTTATACTCTTCAGGATACCATCGTCTAACAAAATAATTTACTCTTTTATTTACATTCATTTTATCAAATAAAGCAACTGAAAATTTAATAAGACTAACCTGCACAATTCTTTGATTGTACTAACATCAACGATCCGATAGTGTAAATGCTTCATAAATTCAGGCATGAATTTTTCGAGAAATTTTTTATCTGCATGAATGGAATTCCCAGCCAATGGACATTTGCCTGGTGGTGTATGTTGACGAACAAAAGACAAAACTGCCATCTCTGCGGCCTGAAGAGTAACTTCGCTTTTTCTACTTTGCTCAGTCAGTCCTGACTAAAAAGTAATATATAATTATAATCAGATATAAAAAAAATTTTCTTATGTTTTTAAGATCTAAACTAATTTGATAGAATTAGCTGAATCATACAGAATTTAACAAACTGGATATAGTAATATATAGCAATATAAATTTTAGTATTTTCAGTTGTGCTAAGAATGTCATTAAAAAGAAATCATTTAATTCCACAAACTGTTTTAAATGTTTCCATTCTGATTTTTCAGTAATAAGTTCAAAACTTAATAGCTAGAACAAATCTTTTGATAAATCTTTTGATCTTACTAGCATAAATTTGAACTGCAGCCACCAGAAAAATACTACAGTAGAGCGTTGATTATCCAAATCAATTGGGGACTGGTGGGGTTGTTCGGAAGATCCATGTTTCGGATAACCGATTATGTACGAAAAAATATATTAATTTATCCTATCTTGACATTTTTCTCCATTGCGTGTCGCTTTACGTTGAATTTTCATCGATGTTAAGCCTAACGAAGACTATTGTATTGTTAAAAATTATTTTTTATTTTGTACGAATAAAATAAATATATTGAAAAATATAAAAACAATAAAAAATTATACTTCAGAAGTTAATTTAGTGTCAAAAACGTAAAATATTTGAGTAGCCCAAGACATAGCCAAAGATTGCAGCGCCAAAGCACTGGCAAAAATTTAAATTTGCCAACTGGAATTCTTTCGATGGATTGACTTTCGGATAATCGACGCTCTACTGTATTCAAAAAGCTGCATTTTGGAGTGTATTTCATATATTTTCAAATGCTAATTTTTCAAAGAATTATCAAATGTTAAATTTATTTTCATATAAATTAATAAGCATAAATGACAAATCATTTTTACTTATTCTTTCTTCTATATATGTAAACAATTACAGTGGTGCCTCGTATAACGTACGCCTCGAATAACGGACTTTCTGTTTGGCTGTTACGTGACTTGAGCAACGGACTCCGTTCGGCAGTTACGTGAGGCGATTAATGGACTTCTACAAACAAGTGCGAATGATGTTTCCACTCTTTTGCTGTTGCCAATGACAATACAGTGATACCTCGACTTACGCTACCCCAACTTACGCGAACACGGAGTTATGCAATTTTCAAATCTCGTCGATTCGTCTTTTGTTTGAGCACCACACAACTCTTGATTACTCATTCCCTTCACACTATTGTTCAACTTACATGTTCGGACGTGTCGTGCGGAATTGACACATAGCTACAATTTATTTTGTGTTATTTATTTCTATGTTTGTTATATCTCGAGACTCCACACCACATAGAGAATCGAGAGACTCTATGTGGTGATTTCTTGTAACAATGAACGAATCAAAAGACGAGATAAGATTAACGAGAACATTTATTAGCTTACATACATCCGACTTGGATTTTACACACACTGAGAAATTATACCCCGACTTACGCGGTTATCGCTCGGTCCCACCTATCGCATAAGTTCGGGGTATTACTGTATGTTATTTTTATAATATATTAGTATTATTAGAATATATTATCAGTATATCTGAAGTACAGAGCGTTGGGATTAGGCTTGCTCCCTTGTTTATTAGGTACATCAATACAGTGCAGGGTATTTACATTTATTCAAGTGTTGTGCAAATCATGGCTTCTAAAAAACAGAAAAGTGATTTCAATTGAAACAATGCAAGAAATCATCAGAAGAAGTAAAAGTTGACAAAAACTTCCTTGTCGAATGGGGGGAGGTTCAGGAGTTTACCAACACTCATTATCCAAACAGAACTGAGGCCAACAGGATCAATGATCTCTACAATGACACTCTTGCCCTTCATTTCCAACAGGTGTTGAAGAAGAGAAAGAAACAGACCATCTTGGACATGTTTTTAAGAAGCCAGCAGGGAAAAAACAAAGAATGGAACAAGAGGAGTTGACCCCGCAAGCTCCAGTAGCCTCTCCTGAATCTGAATCCGATTAAAAAACAATAAAAAAAAAAAGACCCGCTGCAATGTGTAAAAAGTCTGTATCTGTATGAATGTGTGAAGAAAGTGTTCCTCCACTTCCTCCTCACAACATCTGACTACCTGGCATAATTGGTGACTGCTCCATTTTCATTTTTTTATGGTACAGTACGGTTATTTTATGCTGCGGAACAAATTATATGTTTTAACATGTATTTCTATGGGAAAATGCATTTCGTATAACGGACTATTCACTTAACGGACGTGCACCTGGAACGGATTATGTACGTTATACGAGGCACCACTGTATATGCTTTTCCTATAATTTTGTTTGAAAATAAAAATTACCTAAAAACTTTACACAATGCATTTGAAATCAGACTTATACATAAATGTCTTAGAAAATATGACTAAAATTATACATAATTTGAAAGTTATTTTAAATATAGTTTGTTTAACTTATTTTTGCCATTACAACTGCTATATTATGACTGAAGTTTAAACTAAACTAGTCAAATTATTCTCCTGTTTAAGAGTTACTGTATTCCTTACCATTAATTTAAATGTAAAAAAAAATCAATCGCATTACATTGACAGTTATCACTATGGGTGTGGGCAATAACTGCTATGCAGATTTCTTTTACGTTTCTAAACGGAAATTTAATAATGTTAAGATGCAAGTTAATGATTTACATTTCAGGTTTTCTTGTAATACTAAAGCTGGCATGCTATCAGGATATTTCATGTAGAACAACTTTGATAAGTTTCTTGAAATGACAAAGACAAAACAAAAATGCTTATATTATTCTGCAAAATGAATTTATAAGTAGATATTTATCATGAAGATCATTTAACAGCAAGCAAAAATAATGTATAGGTGTTTTTATCTGTAATTGTTACAATACAATTCAATAAAAAAACTGTTTTTAAATTAAAATCTGATTTGTAATTTTATCAAGTATTTCAACATTACAGTATTGCAAGACTTCAAATTTTCAGTGCAAAAATTTTGGTAAAACATATTAATTTATCAATAACAAGAAAACTATTAATCTAGGATAAATACTCATATCTAGAACAGAAGTTTAAAATTTTTTACAACAAAATTTGAAGGTGCATAAAATTTTGTTTAACAAAGTAGATACTTTTTGGTTACTAGATATAAAAGATTAAGTAATGATGTTCATCCAGTGTATAAGTTGCAATCTAAATTTGTATTAAAAAATTGCTATTATAAAATGCTATATTAGTTCTATAAAAATTAACACACATTATTGTCAAACAATAAAAAATATATGAAATAGGTCAACATACTGCAGCCTAATTTAAAGTCAAATTAAAAATATATACAGTGGAACCTTGGTATACGTCTGCTTTAGAATACATCCAATTCAGAATACGTCCTGTTTGGACAAAACAAATTTTGCTCGGTATACAACTTTTGTTCGGTATACGACTTAATTCAATTATACGCGCCATCTATGAACAAGTAGCAGTATCGGTGTACTACACTAGACTAGACGTTCGCGGTGCTACGGTTTATAACTTTGTTAAATTTCTTCTGATTTTAATTTGTAAGTAACATTTTATTATTTTTATTAATCATGAATTGCAAAAGGGCAACAGAAAAATAAAAAAATGACTAGAATCACAACGGAACTGAAAAAAGAGATTGTTGAGAAATATGAAGGTGGCACGCATGTTCGAGATTTAACGAGATTTAACTGTTGCATTCCGTATTCCGAGAACGACGATATCGACAATTGTGAAAAATAAAGACATTATTAAATTTGCTAACGTTGCGAAAGGGGTTAAATCAATTTCTAAACAGAGATCGAAAACATTAGATCATGTCAAGAAATTGCTTTTGCTTTGGATAACTGAAAAACAGTGTGCCGGTGACAGTGTATCGGAAAAAATTATTTGCGAGAAAGTTAAAAGGATACATGCTGATCTCATGAAAAATCAAGCAGAGACTAGTGAGGAAAGTGAGGTGTTTAAAGCCAGCCATTTTTTTTACATGAGAATGGATTAATCATTTTTATATTACTTCTTACGGAAAAGGTTGGTTTGGTATATGTCCTATTCGGTACAAGTCCAAACACCAGGAATGGATTAAGGTCGTATACCAAGGTTCCACTGTACTTTAAAACAGAATATCATCTGCATACTGTATGTAGAATGAAAAACATTTTAAAATTTAACTTTAAAAAAATGCTGTTGTTATTTTCAAATTATATTGAGTATATTTTCAATATACTCAATATAATTTATATCTTGGGAGTATCATTTTTCATCATTTGTAGCAAGTTTTAACAGAAAAGATTAAGGAACTATATGACTACGACCCTAAGATCTTAACAGAAGTTAACGCACGAGTAATAACGTTGGCCGNTTATATTGAGTATATTTTCAATATACTCAATATAATTTATATCTTGGGAGTATCATTTTTCATCATTTGTAGCAAGTTTTAACAGAAAAGATTAAGTTTATAACAGTTTTTCTGATCAGAAATTGTTTTTCCATAAGAAACAAATTAAAAAAATAAATCAATCAGTTCTTTGCTATATTAAAAGTAAGTGAGAGGACAATTTCAGTGGGAGAGGTATTAGTCTTCTCTACCATCCCAGATTATTTTGAAATAATGCTGAAAGAAGAGTAATGAGAGAAAGAACTGACCTTCAAAGCATTGTAAATAGACCATAAAAAATATCATCCCTTTTTCTTGTAATTATGGTTAATTTATACAATCATTATTTGTTTGTTTTGTATAAAAAAGAAATACAGCAGATTCTTATTAGTGTCAATCTGTGGGACTGCCTGTAAAGGCTGACAGTAACCAAAAACTAATCTTAGCAAGTACAGTCATACCCCGGACTTACGCGATAGGTGGGACCGAGCAATAACCGCATAAGTCGAATTCGCGTAAGTCGGGGTATAATTTTGCATATAAATACATACAAATTATTTTTAATTGGGACCGGAGACTAAAGAAAACAATAATTTAGAAAAAAAAATGTTTAATAAAATCTTAGATAATACATACGTATAACA